TAATTCTCCTCTATAGATCATTAGTGCAGCCAAAATTCGAATATGCGTCGTCTATCTGGGATCCTCATATTCACATGCTCATAGACACTATTGAATCCATTCAGAATCGCTCAACATGTTTCATATTGTTCAATTACTCTCAAACTGCAAGTGTCACAATGATGAAGGCTCAACTAAATTTGTATAACCTCTCAATACGACGCGAAAATTCACGTCTCTGTCTGTTTCATAAGATCTACCACACTAACAGAACCCTCTCTAATTCACTGTTTTTTCCACCAGCCTACATATCAGCACGCAATGATCATCAATACAAGGTTGGGGTTCCCTTCTGCCATACAAACCAGCACTTCAACTCTTTCATCCCTAGAACACGTACTGACTGCAACCACCTTCCCACATCGATCGCTTCAATCACAGACGTCAACGCGTTCAAATCAATCATTTCTGAAAGTGCACTATAATTAATTCTAATCCTGCTGTTTTGTTTTACTTCTTATTGATATTTGTTGTCCCACTCCTCTCTGTAATGCCCAGTGCCTTGAGAGTAAATAAAAGAAATGAAATGAAATTGGTGGTCGAGGCTTGTGCAATGTTTATCACACGGGTCACCTGTATGCGTTTAACAAGAAGTGCACCGCTGTAAGAGGCTTTTTTGAGCTTCATTATCAAACTTACCATGACTCTCGCGAAGTCTACTCAAAACAGTAACAGGAGAGACCTACATCATGACACTTTTTGATGTGACTGGCATCAGAGATCAGGAATAAATTGCTAACCTGACAGGTTTGCGACGGCCTGTAGCCAGCGCTTTCACCTTTCTGCTTGGCTATGGCTACGGGTATAGGTAAAACTGATGTCTTTTACGTCTGTGGCAATGCACAACGCAACAGTAGCTCAACTAAGCTCTTTCTTCGTAGAGTGCGGAACTTTTACATCTGCTTTTGTTTTCACCGTTGTTTTGCCGAGTGAACCAGCAACCACTTCTTACCAGTTTGACGCAACGCCCAACCAATGGAGAGAAATTCGTTGTTTTTTTTTAGTGTTCAACGCACGAACACATCTACCATTTAGTTTAATCAATGTTTTCAACTGGCTAGTTGCCCCTGGCTGTGCAACAAACTGTGCAAGGGAGTTTCCCACTACCCAAAACTGTGTCCACAGGTGGCGCTATGCGTCTACAAACCCCAGAATCTGACGTCGACAAGCAAAAAAACTGTTTTCACTTGACGCGCTGTCGAGCGGCGGAGAGGGTCCAGGGAGAGAGAAGTGTGTTGCGAGCAAGTTGAGGAGCCAGAAGCAGCGGGCGTGGTGGTAAGCATGTTGCAGGGAAGGGATAGATTGACGTCAGCTCACCATTGTGAGAAAAGCCTAAGAGGGGAACGTGGCATCAGCGTGCAGCTGCGGCGTGACCTACTTGGCAGCTCTTGAACACCTGCGGTGAAGAAAACGTGTGTGGGTGCGTTCGTACGAACGCACATACCTACGGCGTTACACACGTGAGTCAAAGAGCCGCTCCGCATCTAAAGTGCCGCACCAATACGAAGAAGAGTTTAAGAACCCTTAATTACCTGTTCTTTTGAGCTGTTTCATCCCGCGAAAGTACGCGCAACCACAAAAGCACATGGATATTTTTTTTTACATTGTCTCCTGCGTACTCTTCATTCGGTTCAAGAAAAGTTTGCTAGCGCGTGGTTAACAATACGTATTGATTCCCTAGGCTATATATTTGGCTTCAACAGTCCAGCAGCTTGCGCTCGGCGGACAGGGTTGGGTGGTCTGGTGCTGCGGCCACCCCGCCCTCTCTCGTAAAATAAAGTATGAGGAGTGAGTTGATGGGACAGATGCTTGAGTTAGTTGGTGATTTGCAATGAGTATATTTGTACACCGCCAGACAAGAAGTAGTTACGGCACCCTTTCCTGCCCATGTCCCATCCGTAGTTTTGCTGTAACTACTAGTTGTTTCGCGCTGCGAAAATTTGCCGGGTGTGGTGAGATTGCGAAATTTCCTCATTCATGGATGCAGTAAAACGCATATGGTTTCGTCACTGCAATGATCTTACCATTACTAACGAGGAACGCTGCACATGCCTGTGCACTCAACAGTAAACTAGTCAGTCATTAACAAACCCACTAATATTGAACGACAAACGTGCATTACTAAACGTTATCGCGACTAAAATATAGTTATTTTTCGGAGATAGGCAAATACCTTTCCCTCCCCCCGCCAAAAAAAAACACCATTGGCGGCTGCGTAAGCCTTGAAGCGACTCAGCGAAAAAAGGAGCCGAAATCTTCATTTTCTAATTTAAACTCCCAATTCGTGCCATTTTGTCATGCAGGTGGTTTATATTGGTGATTCGAGATCTCTAGCACTCAACTTCAAGAGTACAAACGAGGACAAAAATGTTGTTTTCAAACAACACGTTTTTATTTAACTATTAACACAAGATCTTTGAATAGGAAACTAAACTCTAGACATTTTGTTTGCGTGAGAAAGTGCAACGCTGAAAATTGAAACGAAAGGCAAGTTCAAAAAATAACGCCTTAAGTACAGCTTTGATATGGCTCAGCGCGGCGAAGTGCAGAAATTGTCAGCGCATGTTTTCTATTAGTATAAATACAGTTTCTGTGCGTCTCTTCTCGGACCCTAAAATATATTGCCCGTGTATTTTTACTACTTTGTTATCTTGCTTGTGTTATGTAATAAGTAAAATGTTATTCCCCTTGTCTAGTGCCCCTAAAGGGCCCTTAATGGTGAAATAAATTCTGATGAATAATATGATATGAGTTCAATTCGCCAACACGCAGTCGCAACTCGTGGAGTGTATGCAATTTCGCTGGTTGCTAAGGGGCAGCATGGTTGCTAAGTGACTCGCTCAGAAGTCGGGGACAACCTGGCCAGGCAGCTGGATGAACAACTCAGCCCTACAGCCCGACTGCTGCTACGTCTCCTGTCGGCACCGAAGTCAAAGAAGCCTGGCTGGAGTTGGCGACCGTCTGGAAGCGATATTCTCGGGTCGGTACGCGAAAGTAGGAGGTAGCAAACTGTTGAAGTCTCCGTGGCTCAGGTCCGCCACTCGACGTCTCATCGTCAGCGCTCTGTGCGGTGACTACCTTCTGTTCATCTTGTTCTCCTCTAACTCCGCTTGCTCTTCTCCTGCTCGGGCTTATTAGAGACTACTGGAGTTCCGCGCCACGAAGTGATTGGCCACAGAAATCGCCATGGTGACTGGCGATTGGTTCACTTATATTTTGTGGTCGTCGCAACGCTCATGCTCGTGCTCCCACAGCGGCGCCTTCAACGTCATTTTCTTTCATTAAGTATGTGCGTGTGCGTGCACTCCTTTTGGTCCTAGCGTTTACTGCAGATACGCTGCTAAATTACAGCCTAATAGGACATACTGTGCAGCTTTAGGGAAGGGTAAGCAGAGTATAAAGAAGAACGCAGAAGAAAGATACTAGTAACACAAAAGGATAAGCAGTGAGGTTCTCGTTCATTTATAGGCCTAAGTGGGAGTGTCGAGCAAAAAGCGACCTCATGATAGGTAGGAAACGATTCCAGTGGCCTTCAGGAACTTCTACAGGCTGCGCAAAGCCAAGAAGTTAAGGTGAAGGGACGAGGAAGTCGTTGGAAATGGTCGGAGGTAGGCCCTGTTCCCTGTGATATGCCCATACATGCTCCCTCTCAGAAGCCTCCGACCATTGTGGCGACACTTAGACGCTTTAACACTTTCCGTGCTTATTCATCGTTGGCGCAGGACGTTCACGACATCTTTTTTCTCTCTTTTCTAGCCGTAGTTTTCAAAGGCACACACTTCAATAGTGCGCTACAGTCATCGTACTTGGGCAAATTTTCAGAGATTAAAATAAGGTCATGGTGTCAGAGTGTAAATATTCTGTTTACTTATGAAGTAACGTTGCGTGAATTGCCTGTCACTGTAGGTGTTGTAGGGAATAACATGCAGAACTATACGCCATTCATCTTGCAGCTGTTAACTTTTGAGTATTCCACCACAGCACCTGCTAAGTGCACTGTAGCCGAACTACCTAATATTTCTGCTATCTTCAATTTGGCCAAGATGATCAGTAGCAAATTCAGACTGATGATATTTCAATTGTCAGCCCAATATGGCTTTTGTATTATGCCAAGTAAATATAGCCAGCAGGCCTTTTTATTTGGATTCATACCTTGCCGCCCAAGAATGTAATTTTGCTATGCGCTGTTACACGTTGTTGGAAGTACTTCAAGTTTTGAAGATCACGTACGGACTCGCAGTTTAGCAGGAAAAGCAGGCTTCTGCTATTCATTTGTATAATAATCATGTTCACCATGAACATTCTGTTCAGAACAGCATGGCTTCTGTTTTACTGTAAACAATCACAAGACACGTCCTGTAATTTTGCTATGCGCTGTTACACGTTGTTGGAAGTACTTCAAGTTTTGAAGATCACGTACGGACTCGCAGTTTAGCAGGAAAAGCAGGCTTATGCTATTCATTTATATAATAATCATGTTCACCATGAACATTCTGTTCAGAACAGTATGGCTTCTGTTTTACTGTAAACAATCACAAGACACGTCCTGTGGTTGCCTCAGAAAGGCTCGTACTAATAATAAATGATATGTCTAAAGTAATTTCTCTTCCCGAAATTTATGATCGGCATGGCTATCTGAGAAACAAAAAAATTAAAATATATCATGGGAAGGAATTATAACTCAAAAATAGTTTTTCATACCGAAAAAAATGACCTGTCTTGAAGTTACGCCCATCATCGCATTTTCATTATTGGCGAGCGATTCGATCTTTCAAATGCTTCTTTTCTCGTAACTTATGCATGTGACTAAATAGACAGATGCCTTCAAGGTATTCACATGTCTGATCTTGGCCGAACGGATCACATATATTCCTAACGTAGAAAGGAACAATAAAGAGAGGTTTTTCAAAGACAATTTGCTAGGTGCTCTCTAGCTACGTTCACGCAGCTCAGTGTTCAGTTGCCTATTGGTGCCGATAGACTGTAAGACCGCTTAAAAAAGCATTCCATCGAAGACTCGAGCCGAATCTATCCACAACCATGAGCAGTGGCCCGCGTACACCATTGATACCAAAATATCTTGCCCTGCGTCAAGAGATCCTGGCTGGCAATGGTGTAAACTACAATTTCCCAGTAAGTTCAACAATATATTGATTGTTTTTTAAACTGTTCGAGCCCGCATTCCGAGCACTCCGATGTTCAAAGTTGCGATGTGACATCTGTGAAAATACGCAGCCAGAAAGGAATCGTGGTAAAAAGAGCAGTTGCTTCTGTGAAACAAGATAAACTTGCTGGTCTCATGAAAACCATTACAAACATCATGATTAACCTCAGGAAACTCCGTGACTCCAGCCGATTTTTTACAAAAAAAAGGTCATTGACCGCGAGCTTCTTTAGCTCTTTCAACTGGCTGATAGTTCTCTGCCACAAACCCCGTTCACTATCTATGGTCCTTAATAGAAAATCAGGCTCAAGGAACTTGCCTCTAATCGCTGCAAAGCCGCGTTGTCAATGAATATTCAGAAAAACTCCACGCACAAGTCAATAGTTTTCTACTTTACACAACATTTATGGGCGAAGCTCCTTATAACGGCACCCGTTCGTCCCTTGTAATCGTTGTTGCGTGTAGCAAGTGTAACATTTTGACCTCCAAGGTGGTGCCGGTGAGAGATTTCTTCTGTGCGTTGTTGAACAATAAAAAATAGTGCTCAATGTACATACTATGGCTGTTAATGGTGAATGAGAGACAGGAGCATTTGGCTTTTAGTTAACGCGCACGCTGCAATCCCCATTAGCAGCCATTGGCATGTACATTGAGCACTATCTGACAAGAAAAGGTGGCTACGTTATACTCACTGGGTGTAACCTCCTTAGTTTTAGAAAAGTTTAGCGAGCGTTGAGCCATAGTGCCATGAATACAATGAACTAGTATATACCATGAACTCGAGGTGGTTAAAGGTGGAAAGTAGACCCGAAGCGCAAGCCGTAAGAAAGTGTGTGTGTGCCACCTCTCTTTTAGTCCTTGAAATGTGCGCTGGATGGCGGTGCTTCTATATGGGGAATATATAATGATAAGATGCGAGATGGTGGTACTTGGAGTGTTGAATAGATGGACGAACGGGCACACAGAGAGATGCATGGATGGACGCATGAACGGACGCAGGGGCGGATGTATGGATGAACGTAGAGACGGATGCATGAACAGACGCACGCACGGGCGGGTGAATGGACGCATGGACGGTCACACAGACGGACGCATGAACGGACGAGAAAAAGAACGAATGGACGGACGAATGCTTCGCCCCACTCTCCATCATTCACTCCGTGGATATGCTGCCAATTTTTTTTGTTACTCTACCTCTCACCATGCAGCGCGAAATGGTGCCGTCTAACCGTACTAGCGTACAGATAACGAACGCACTACGGCGGGCAGGCCTAAGGGGTGGTTCAGAGATCAGCCCACCTGCTACCGCGCGATGATGGCACTGATGACCACACATATGAAATCACTGTGACGTCACTGTGACGTCTCTATGTGCAATCGGTGACAATTGGTGTCACATTGTGACGCTACAGCTATGTCGCAATGGCATCGTGACAGCACAAAACACTTAGCTATATTTATGCCACAAGGACTTTATCAGGTGGCGTCGTTATATCAAGATTCTTTGCAAGACTCGCATTGATTTCGGCCACCACTTTTCATGTATGATAACATTGATAAACAACATATTTAAAGCTTTCGTACTCAAAGCTGTTGTCCACAAACATCGCTAGACCTAAAAACCGCTTCACATAACGAACAGAAGGGAGACGAACAAAGAGAGGGAAAATGACGGCCCATCTATGAAGTCAATCACGAGAGGTGGGCAAAGCACTATAATTAATCGGTTTTACCGTAAATCACACGTGATATTAATCACTAACGCTTGTTATTGAGGGGCAAAATGGTGAACTGTATATAAAATGTTTATTGGTCTCAACTGATAAGCTGTGTTGAGTCAGAAATACTGTTTTGTTTGCTTTGATTATTACTGCTTTGTGCTTTCGAATCCAGCCTGAGCAGGCAAAGACGGTCTGTAGAAACTAGATTGAAGATGGAGCTCCGAGGCGAGAAATAAGAAGGGGCCAAGGGCGCGCTTTGTATATTTTTTATATATCGTTTATAGCTATGCGCCAAGACGATAAGACTATGCTTTTATAAATGACCCAGACACCTTTTTTCTTGACCATTGGCCTCGGTTTTGAACACCCAAGACAGCTTTTGTCTAGAAACAACTAGATGCGATAAATATAAAAATTCGAGATGTGATTGTGGCGCAGCTTACAAATCGAAATCTTAACATAGAATTCGATTAGATTTTTTCCTCTAAGTCCAAATTACAATCATACAGGGTCTTAAATAGCCGTCTGCAGGATTTTCTTGCACACGCAGAAACGAATAATAATATAGCCACAGATTTATTTTTATTTTTTTATTTATTTATTGCATACTGCAGACCTTAACAGGTCCAAGCAGGTGGGCACGGTACAAGTAGTAAGTACATGTTAGGCACTCAAGTCACATAGAAAAGGAAAAAGAAAAGAATTCAACATACAAATACAGGTTTACACACGCAACACACAGTTTACACACAGTAAATCAACCAAAGTGAATCTTTATACAGAGTTTTTTAGAAGGTTCCATTCTTCCACTGTTCGTGGAAAAAAAGAAAATTTAAATACATCTGTCCGTGCAAAATAAGGTGTTAGGGTTCCGGGGTGCTGGTGTCTCGTATGCCTTGTCGATATGGGTGTCAGGTACTGTGTAGGGTCTAGTGCTGTTTGTCTTTGAAGAAGTTGAGATGCTTCAGTAATAGACAAAAAGACAGGTGTAGGTATATACTCCGATTCGCTTGACTGGCCTTTTTCATTAAGATTACCGGATTTCACCTCAGGTTTTGAAGCTGAACTGTTGGCAATAGTTTTAGCGCTGCGAATACCTTTGAATGCCCATAACGCAATCATAATCACGGATTCCCTGCCAGTATGTAGGTCGATTATGGCGTCAACTCCTGGCTGTGTTCACACTTGTGAAAATTGTCGGTCATAAAGCAAATATTATGCTCATCTGAGGCCCCAAATTAGTACATATGTATCAAGCAGTGGCTACCTTTATTAGATAATAAATAAAGAGGCATTTGTAAACACACAAGTGTTTTAAGGCGGCACTTAAAGTGCGACCTTATGCACTCAAGGATACCACCAGAGGACTATTGCCTTTCAGGGTTTGTAGGGAAGTACCCATACAGAGAGGACATTTATTCTTATTATTATATAATATTATAAAGACTAATAATAATGACAATATACAACCTAACATTTTCATGTAGATTTAATACATGACATAGTTGGAGGTTGCCGCCTAATTTCCGCTGCTTATGGGGCTAATAACCTACACCAAATTTAGGTACACTGCATATCATTAATTTTGCCAGAACCGAGACGTGGGCGGCCAGACAACTTTCGCATCATGCATCCTTTCTTAGCATCGTGTTTTTGTGGCGGATTCAGTGCAGTAATTGGAGCACCAAATATTGCAAGCGACTGTTCAGCAGCTCCGTCTATAAAGCATAGGGGCTAGTTCTTCAGCAAAGCGCATTTGTGCATGCAATAAACAATTTTGCTCCGAAAGCTCAGATGTTGGCAATTTTTGTTTGTGGTCGGTTACCCCCGCTGATTTTATTCGACTCTCTTCCAATGTGAGAGAGGTTGTTGCAGAGCAATGAAGCTGCAGACGTGTGCTGTCACAAAACGGGAACACGAACTGTAAAACATAAACTTTATAGCACAACCATTCCACTTTTATAACCAGGACTGTGAGCACCTGTTAAGCACCTATTTCTTCAATGTCAATCGTACTCAAATTGTCTTTGCCTACAACATGCCAGATCTATAGAATGTTAACGGCTATTTGAGCACACTTGCACATGCACAAACGCTATAGTCATCAGCTAAGATTAATCATCGGTATTTCAAGTCGATATACTATTTCTCATGTATTATATAAATACTTCAGCTCAGAAACTTGTCAGACAATCACGAGTCACTTCTTTATAGACGCGTATTTTCTTGTGAAAGACTGAGTGTTGAATATTATTTGTACAAGAAACTCACCAGCGATCTCCCGAAACCACGCAGAACTTTCTTTCATATACAGTTTTGAAGCTGTAATATCAATATAAACTTTTAGTTTTACGTTGAACTTAAAAGCACTTACTGAGCATTTGTGACTAGCGAGGTTGATGTTCTGTTGCACCATGATGATAAATTATATGAAGTAAATTACACCTTATGCGCAAAATAAAACGTTTTTGCGATGATAAGTGCATTAGGCACTGATACAAGTATTCCCATCCGTATGATTTCGGCTGCAACGTGAGAGTGTTTTAGCTGACTCAAAAGTGCTTTTCTTTCTAGCTTGGACGTTCCTACGAATATTCATACCCAGGTTATATGGAAGTATACGATGGAAGTGGTTTAAGTTTTTTCGGCTACATCAATAACCCATCGCCTGTGTGAGTGCTATGCTGCTTTTATCTTAACAGTCATTTGTACATACACCAAAACGGCACTGCGACCTGTTTGGCATGCCATACAGAATTGAAGGCACGCTGTTGCGAAGACGATAGCGCTGAAAAACTTTTTTAGGAAAAATTCTCGTATTGGCGTCACCGTCATTGGTTATGAGTGAGAAATGACGCTTTCGTGAACGTCTGTGCTCAAGCGGCCCATGTCCTGGTCGGTAACGTTGCGTTTCGAATCAAGTTTTTTTTTTTGCGTACGTGTTCTGATACGCTTGCACTAACACCGACGTTGACGCTGGCGCTCGTCGCGGCGTTTTCAAGAGAGAAAGGCCACCCGCATCTTCCCACGGGGGCAAATGTTTTAAATGCATCGCACACTGGCGGGATATCGTGTAAATGTTGCATTATTGGATACAGTTTGGCAATGTTCAATTGGTATTTCGTCTTTTATGTTATTTATTTAGTTAATGAGAAGCGTTGCCTTCAATGAGTGGTGGGACGCTAATGTTGGGTTCTACCCACTACTGGTTGATGGTACTATTGCTTCCATCGCATCTACTAGAGTCAAAGAATAGGGCCCGGTAAAAGCCAAGTAAGGACACCCTTGACTGAATCGTGAACACGCATTCACTGCCTGCACACACGGGGTGGTCGGTGAAAGGTTGTGCAGTGCGAGTAGTCGGCTTGTTACACAGAGATTAATAAAAGAGTTGCAGATAAAAATGACACTACTTAATGCTTCCCAGGGGCACAGCTTAAAAACTTTAGTGATGGGCATGGGGAAAATAAAGATGACAGAAAAAAAAGAAGATAAAGAATAAAATGGTCAGATCCCATGTACAGTGGGAATCGGTGATATGCGAAGCACGAATGACGAAGGTCGATAAGTCACTTTAAAATCAACGTAACGTTATGAAGTGGAGGTAAGTTATGCTATAAATGACTTCCATGTGAAGCTTGTCACGTGTGGACGTGACATTTACCTCAGTAACCCATTCATATCACCTGATAGCTAATGTGGTATATGTCGAGCTAGCGAAACGGCCACAAGCGTGCTATGAGCGTATCATGTTGTTCAGTTTTACATGACACGCATGTCGTGATTATCATCTTTGGACGTGTCATTTGCATTGGACGTTCATTCACATCACATTATACTAAATTTGGTATATGGGTAACTAGTGAAACGGCCGCGAGCAAGCTATGAGCGAAGCTTGTAGTCATGTTTTACATGCTACGCATATTATGATTATCGTGTTTGGACGTGTCAAGTAACTTCGTCGTGTATTCGTCATGCGATACGAAAGTTGGTATATGTGGAGCTAGGGGAACGGCCACGAGCGTATCACGAGCGTGGTATGTGTTCATGTTGTTACATGACACGCATCTCATGATTATCATGTTTTCACCATTCACATACCCTCGTCGTACACACACGTTCCGTAACACCAAACTCAGTTTATGTGAAGTTAGCGAAACGGCGGTGAGTGCACGTAGCGTTGATGCGTGCGCACGCTGGGCGCAGTGGTGTTACGCAAAGAAAACTCGAGCACTATATAGTCTGATACTAGGTGCGAGCAGCTTCTGTCGGCGAGAACCGGCGGCAACCATTGAGAAATGCGGCATGCTTCATTTCGCACTGACGACGTTACCCAGACAGCACCGCGTCATAGAATAAAGAACCAGCCATGGTTGTGTTCCAATACTCACAGAGGACGCCCAAATAGACAGCTAAAAGGACGGCGGCTATCGTAAGTCCCATCCCAATTCTCACGTAGCAGGCCAAATAGACAGCTCTGAGAAGACCGCATCGTATAAAAATACATTTACTTTGCTGTCTAAACAAGATGTTGGCTCGACAAATCACTCAGAATGATCAAATATCGCCGGATTGGTCATCTCCACACAAGGTGACGCTTTCTCAGACGCTCTATGTGAGTAACGTTTATTTGTTTTTGATTTAAACACGAAATAAGCCAGAAAATACAAGTGTTACGTTTAATTTTTAGTTTTGTCTTGTCGACGTGAGGTAAGGCATTGTCGCGTAAAAGCCGTCCAGATGTGTTTCGATTCTCGGACAGCATGGACTCACTGCTGTCTTCCATAGCAGTCTACGTAGACTGTACGTGCTGTCTAAGTATTGGAACACAGCCCGCACTTGCCTAGCCCGGAACCCTTCACTACGGCGTCTCTCGTAATCATTTGGTGGTTTTGGGACGTTAAACCTCACATATCGATCAATCAATCACGTCTGCCTAGCTTCGTGACGGAGGGATGCCAGGCGTGCTCAAACGCGCATGCGTGAAAGCAACGCAGCACACCGCGCGCCTGCGAGCATTTGCTAGGCAGATTAGCGCCTAGCATGGCATTGCCGGCGTGACCCGACGAAACGAACGCCAGCGCGAACACGCGCTGGGACACGTCGAAGTTTATTGGCGCTTTATGTGTGGCATGTAGTCATGTTGTAACTGATGCGGCTATCATGATTATTATGTTTGGACGTGTCATTTACATATGACATCTGTTCGTGTGACGTTATACAGAATTTGGTACATCTGGCACCACTCACATACCTTCGTATTGCATTCACGTCTCGTAACACCAGATTTGGTAAAGGTGAAGCTAGAGAAACGACTGCGGGTGTACCACGAGCGTGGTGGGCAGTCATGGCTCATGATTTACATGAGATGCATGTCATGATTTCCACGTTAGGGTGTGTCACATTCGTTCGCCATGCAGTATTGTAAAACCGTGCCAATTTTGCAACATTTCATGTGAATGAAACCACGGCGAGAGCAGCAAGATCATTAAATGTAAATCAGGACATTCATGACATACATGTCATGATAGTCATGTTATGACTAATCAATTGATCTTGTCTCACAGTGATGTTATGTCATACCAAATTTGGTATTGATGCCATTAACAAAACGACCAGGAGAACTGAAAGCCCTAGGTGACTAGATAGAAAGATAGATAGATAGATAGATAGATAGATAGATACGCTCAAAGCCGCCAAAATTCGCTAATAAAAGCTTCGTATTTAAAAGTGAGAGACACGGGAAGCGAACGTCTTGTCAGTACACACAGTAAAACGAAGCTGAAACGCTTTTATATAAGGCGGCGAGGTCCACAGACGCACAAAACTAGATAGAGGAAGGCTTGAAGGGATTGCATCTTTGAGCGTACGGGGAAAAAAAAGGTCTACCACGTTTGTCGCAGGCAGACCGAGGAGACGACGGTGGTTCACCAGTACGCAACGCTCTGTGGCCAGGTCAGGGCAAGAGCAAATACTATACTGCAGTGTTTTGTCATAGCTACACCTTCGGCACGCAGGCGATGAAGAGCAGCCCGCGAATTACATGCGTACCACAGGCCAGGCACTGCTGCTACGCAGGCAAACCACCAACCGCCCACACTCTAAAAAAATATCGAGTAAAAAGGGTGTCTTTTTGTGCCACAACAATAATCGCCATCAGGCCTGCGTGCGCTTCCTTTCTTGAAAACTTGGCGCTGGCCACTTTCCTATTGAGAACGCAATGTAACCCTGATAATGGGCATGGCGATTGTAAGCGGAATGTACCGGGTGCGAGGCGATGGCGCAAGGATGGAACGCAATATAGATGACGATTATTGTTGTGGGACAAAAAGACACCCTTTTTACTCGCTCTTTTTTTAGAGTGCAGGCCGGTCTCCGGAAGGAATGATGAGTTTTGCCGCTTGCCTCCCGCGCGTCAGGGTGGGCCTTTGGTATGAACATCCGCAGATTCTGCCGAGAGTAATCCGATTGGGGCTACCACCTTAGTGACTTGCGTGTCGCAGTGGTGTTCTGCCTTACTGCTGGCATCAGCGCCCTCTTTGTCAGCTATTTCAACTTGCGAGGGAAGCCAGTGGATTGACAAGCGCACAACGCTATCTTTGATGGCGGTCAGTTTGGCGTGCAGCTACGTTACGGTCATGCCTGCTTGCCATGGTTGTAACAGAGCTTGTAGGGCTTGTCGGGAGTAGCACAGAATCACCACAGCAAGCTGGAGTTACGTGGCAGCGAGGTGGTCGTCTGTCAAGTGGTGGCCGGCCGACTCATCTGCAGTGAAGATAGGCATGAAAAGGTTGTCTGCACTGGATGGTTGTCCCAGTCGATAGTATCACGCAGACAGCCGCGGCCAAACGAAATCGTCCGTCATCACCAGGTGGTGCCCCATTAGCTTGTCATAGAATTTCGCCACGGCTACCTGTTTGAGCTCGCACGCTGGTGTCCGCTTTTTGCTCAGGTTGTCCAGCCCTAATTGTACGTCCAGAGGCTGCTCATGTGTGGAGGACCTGGATAGAACTGGGAGCTTCGGGCACTTTCTCTTCATAGAGAGTGCAGACATGTGCCATCTGTGAGGCTGGTTACCTCAGCAATCTTCGAATGAGGTCTTTGCCCCCAGAGGCCCTCTAAAGACGATCAAGAAGATGAAGTGCCTGTCGCAGCATCAAGAGTAACAGAGGCCAGGTCTTGAGCAACACCAGTCCTGCAGCCACGGGCGACTTGCGAGGAAGTACCACGAAGCGCCGAATTTCCATGTGGTGTTGCCGCTCAAACCATGGGCAGTGCGTACGTAGTTGCGACCGCTCTTTCCAGACACCGGACATCCGGGATGCACATGCCAAGACAAGATGAAGTGAAAATTTACAGAGAGGGCTCGTTTACATTATTTACTAGGCAAGAACTTTCTGGCCCGAAGCTCTACATTGCAAAGTCTACTTGACTCTCTCAAAAGCTTTTAAGCAGCCCATGAGGGCTGATTTTAAAGAGGTCATGACGCCCAATTTTCAACCATAATTTGTGTTGTGTGGACTGGTTCTTGTGCGTTCACAAACACATTGGCGAAATTTCAGCCCATTTGGCCATGCCGTTATTTTAAAATGGAATATTTTTCAAAACGAGCGAGCAGCCTAGTGTTCGGAGAACACTGGCGTGCTCACTAGCCGTGCCGTAACGAACCGTT